TGAGTAGGAAGAAACATCAGTATGAATTGGTGATTATTTTTCCATCTAAAAAATACATAATTTTTAGCTCTGTCCACTGAAAAGTCAAAGCAGTGATAACTCAATAGTAACAGTGTATCTAATACCTATATTGTGGGTTTAAATACCTTTTCCCAGTAGACAGAAATGGGGCTGTTGGGAGAAATGGTCAGTTCCAGATCTGGGGCAAGAAATGAAAAAGACAAGCCTCAAACATCTTGTGGCTAAAAGGAAGGAAGTTATCAGACTCCTAGAGTCTTAAAAAAGGGCTTAAAAGTTGACTTAAATAGGGGCTCTCACTGGCCAAAAATGGGACAATTCAAGCGTCAAAATGAATAATGGCTGCAATTGATTAAAACACATAAAAATATAAAAATTTAGAAATTCATAATAATACCAAAAAAGCTTTCATTGGTCACCTTTGGAGGTTGCCTAGAAACCAACTTGTTATTCTGGAAAAAGTTCAAAGCAGCTTTATTCATAATATCCAAAAACTAGAAACAGCCTAAGTGATCATCAGTAGGAAAGTGGACAAACTGTGGTATATTCATGCAGCACAATACTTACTCAGCAATAAAAAAAAAATGAACTACTGATGACAACAAAATGGATGGATCTCAGAAACATGCTGAGTTAGAGTGGCCTTCCATAGAAGAGTACATACTATATTGGCTTCGTGCATGTGAAGTTCTAGTACAGGCAAAACAAACTTGTGGTGAAAAAGCATCAGAATAGGGGTTTGCACTGGGGGCACGCATGGCAGCAGAGATTGAATGGGAAGGGGATGAGGGAGTTTTCTGGGATGATGATAACATCTTGATACAGGGCTTTGCGGTATACAGACATATGCAAATTGTCAAAACCCTCTAATAGTACTCTTAAGATTTGTGCACTTGACAGTTATGTAAATTTCACCTTAGACATAATTTTAAACAAACGTGAAACTAATGATATGTGTAGCTGAAGTGTAGTGAAAAGATGGATTGATGATTGGGTAGAGGGATGAATAGATAGATATTTGATAAAGCAAATGTAGCAAAATGTTAATCGTAGAATCTTTGTGGTGTATATACAGCTATTTACTATACAATTCTTTTACTTTTCTCTATGTTTGGTAGTTTTCATAACAAAGTGTTGGGGAAAACCTCCATTTTGGAACCCTTCATTATGGAGCTAGGCATCAATGGCTGCTAAAATCATTAAATGAAAAGTTGATGGTGAGCTTTATAATGATGGATCTCGGCAGACAGCACCTGAACCCACTGATCAATCCTGTAGGAGAACTAGATATTATGTTCTTCCTGATGTGTTATAACAGATACACCACTTATGAAATATTGGGCCAAAAATCCTGAAATTGAACATGAAACTAATCAAGCTTCTAGATCTAACTACCAATTTACAGGAAATACAGAAGATTAAGGAACATATTAAATGACTCCCTGTAAGTACCATTAGCCAAGCCCAGATTGTAGGGGATTCCATAGGGGAAATTACTGAATATCTTAACTAATCGATATCATGAACATTTTTAAAAAGGTCTGACGGGGAATATGTTGTAGAATAAGAGAGACTTAAGAGAGATTACCATCAAATGCAACGTATGGACCTCGAATACCATTTTGCACTAGCCAACTGTAAAAAAGACATTTTTGAGACAGTCAAGGAAAATAAAATGTGGACTGGTATTAGATTATATTAAAGAATTATTCTTAATTTTATTGGGTGTGATAATGACATGGTTATTTTTTAAGTTGTCTCTTAGAAACACTGAACTATTAACAGGCAAAATGATATGTTTTTTTAAAAAAGAATTCAGAAAAAAATAATAAATGGTTGGAGACAGATGAAGCAAGGATGGTAGAATGTCCATAATTGTTAAAGCTGGGTGATTGGTGCCTGGAGGTTTATTAATCTATTTTCTCCAGTTGTAAACATTAAAAAGTTTTAAAAAAGAAAGAAACTTCCTTGGCTTCACATTGTCTTCTAGCTACATTTCATTTCTCTATTCCTACCACAGTAAAGTTTTGAAAGGTATCTGAATTTTCTATTTCCCCATCATCTCTTCCCATTCTCTCTTGAACCCAGTCCAGTGGGGATTTTTGTCTCTATCACACCACCAAAACCCTTCTTATCAAGGTCATCAGTGATTTCCAATTTGCTAAATCTAGTGGTCAATTCTCAGTTCTCATCTTTAATGACTTCTCAGTGGCATTTCTGACTTTTCCTCTGACTTTTCCCCCCTTCTTTACCATCTAGCCATTCTGTTTCCTTTGCTAGATTCTTCTCATCTTCCTCACCTCAGATACTGCTGGGTACCAGGCCCCAATTCTCTGACCTCTTCTTTTCTATTGGTGGTTCACTCCCTAAGCAATTTCATTCATTACCTTGGCTATAAATACTCTCTATATGCTGTTGATCCCAAATTTATATCGCTAATCCCAGCCTTCCCTCTTCTATCTTGTGAGACCTCACGCTCAATTTGTATGAAGCCAAATTCTTGATCCCTCTTTCAAACTCCTCCCCCTGTGTACCCAGTTTCAGTAAGTGGCATCTTCATTTTCATTCAGATGTCCAAAACAAAAACCTAGTTGCCATACTTGACTTAACTCTTTCTCTCACACTGCATATCCAGCAGCAGTTCCTGTCAGATTTACCATCAGAACATATCCTGAATTTGACCGCTTTCACCACCTTGATTCTGTCACTCTAGTCTAGTCCATATCACCATCTTCTCTTGCCCAGACAACAGCAGAAGCCTCCCACCTGGTCTCCTTCCTTCCACTCTTGTGCTTTTGCAGTCTGTTCTCCATACAGCAGTTCAAGTGACCCTTTCAGACCTAAAACCAGTCTTAATGCTCCCTTGCTCAAAACTTTCCGATGGTTTCCTGTCTTGCTTAGCATAAAACGCAGAGTTCTGGTCTTATCTTCAAAACCCTGGACAGTCGGGTCTTTGATCCTGTGGATTATACTTCCCACCACCCTTCCCCTTGTTCACTCCTTTCCCAGCACACTGGCTTCCTGACTCCTCTCCAGACATTCCAACCCTGCTCTGGGCCTTTGTGCTTAACTGTCTTCCCCCTCCCCAGGAGCTTGCTTCCACATGGCTTTCTCTGACATCCCCTCCCTTACTGAAGAGCAGCTCCCTAGTCTCCAAACCTGAAACACCTACCTCCTTACCAGCTTAGTTTTCCTCATAGTGCTTGACACTACCTAGTCTTACATTCACTTATGTGTGTTGGTTTCTTTGTTTATTGTCTATCTTTAGTTCCAATTGTATGGCTTGTCTCACTTAAGGATTTATTGAGAATAACTGAATCCACACTGATGAGAATTACATAAATCTCAACGTAACATTAACTTAAGCATAAATATAGTCAACAGACTATAAAGGGTGTGCTCTAGGATTCTGATTTCAGCTTCCACTTATCCTTCCTAAGAAGGTGACAGCGACACTGGCCAGGAGACCCTGTCTGGGTCTAGTTTGTATTTTCTTTTTCTGCACACACCTGTCCTTTGCTAGGCTTGTTCATTTACTGTGCCCACACGGGTGTCACGCTGAAACTATTGCTTTTTTCTTCGTGTCTGTTGTCGTCCGTCTTCATTTGAGCCAGATGGGCGCTCTTTGAGAGAGAGCACTCCTCATCAGTTGGTTTCTGTAGAGGTTTGCTTGCTCTCCCGTAGACCCTTCTGGCTACTGTGTGTCTTGCCGCGGTTCGCTCACCATGTGCACTTGCTTCTCCTCTCCCCTCTTTCTCTCACTCACACACGCTCGAGGGTTCATCTTTCTTTGTGCTAGACTGTTGTAAAAGGTCTTTAAGCACCTTTGGACAGAAAGAGTAACTTCCGGAGTGGAACCCTGATACTTTCACTGGGCCGAGCAAGGATCCCTCCCACTTTGGCGTATCAGTCACCAAACATCTCTCTGGGTGCACCAGCTCAGAGTTTTACTGCACAGTTCTCTGTATGCCCACTATCATGTATGTTAAACCTGAACTAAAACCATGTCGTTTAATGTATGAGCAAGTATAGAGGAGAATGAAAAAATACTTTTTTCTTCTAAGCCTGAAGAGCTTGCCTCTTTCACTAACCCGTATTTTAAGAACAGGTCATATTATACATAATGTTAGTCATATTGGGGAGTATATAGTATTTAAGCTGAGACCAAAGGTCCCTACAATGAGATGCTTTCCTGACACCAGCCCCAAATAAGGTCCCAGACAGAACTAGATGCAGAGGACAAGGTCCTACAAAGAAACTCTCATTGTGACTACAAAGTATATGATTCTTAGAAAGCCCTAGTCAAGCAGCTGCTCCTTGAAGGATATCTTTACCCCGGACTAGTGGCCAACCAAGTACTCTCCTTTCTCCCTGCTCCTTTCTCACCTGCCATTCCCACAGAGAGGAAGGGCAGATCCAGAGAAAAGACCCCAGGATGAGCACTGAATTCCCCAGGAGCCAGGCTCAGTTAAACTCATTAAATCTGACTTTTCTTACTTGGGATTGGAATGAATTAAGAAATCAGATAGTGAGAGGGTGGGTGAAGAAAGGACCATCAGCATCCCTTAAGGGCCAAGATATAGTGGCACTATAGGTAAAGCCAGAGCTTTCAAGGAACATTTTTGCAGGAATGGAAAATATATTTTTCCCTTAAGTGTACACTGTAACTCAAAGAGAATATTGCATAAAAAGGCAGAAAATATGCCTGTCTCATCTGTCTTGAACGTCCATGCTTCTGAGTAAATCTTAGCACCACACCCTAATTTTGGAAGCAAATAATTCCTGAAAAATATTGGATAGAACAGGTAAGTTTTTGGAGAAATCAGCCAGAAGTGAGACTAGGACAAATAATTCAAGCATCCAAAGTAATTCCAGGAGTTTTAAAAGTATTACTTATATGATCATGTTACTTGGTTTTGTGTAAATTGAATTGTTCATCTTCAGTTAATCCTTGTCTTTGGTTTGTTTGTTTTTCTTTTCAGCCCCACTGTGTTCTACTTGCCTCAAAGGAAAACTCGGCCCCTGTTAAACTTGGGGGCTTTGGGGTAGCTATTCAATTAGGGGAGTCTGGACTTGTAGCTGGAGGTAAGAATACTTTTTTTTTTAAATATTTTCTTCAAAATCTGGTCACTTTCAGGCTGATATAAAACTTTCAAACTAAATATGAGTCCATCTTCAGTGTTTCATACCCCATTCCACCCCATGCTAACCCACCCTAAAAAAGTGCCATGATATAGTTTTGAATTTAATAATTCTGTAGTCTTAACTAGAATTTTAATCCCTTAAGAATAGACTCTATCTTTTTACTCTTTGTATCCCCAGCACTTACCAGGGGACAGACCCAACATACAGAGATTAAAACCATATTGGAAGAAGGTGATATTTGGGGCAAAGTGACTTTTAAAGTTGAACTGATCAATTGAAGTCAAATCTGAAATATGTAGCTTAATTACCTTCAGGTTACATCAGTGACTAAGTTTTAATTTCATACTGTTTTCCTCTTTCCATTTGTGAAAGAGTCCTGCTCAAGCCATCAATCTGTGTATTTGGGAAGAGCGAGCAAATGTGAATACAGACTGGTTTTATTATTAGCCAAAACAAACATAATTAGAAAATTCCCATGCCAGGAAAAAAAAGAAGAAAAGTTAAAATGGAAACTTTCTTCACCAGTGTACAGTGGTGGATCCTAATTACAGATTCAAGTATTTGGGTTTTATTTATTCCTTTCAATAGACTCCAGCTTCGAATGCGGCCCTGTTTTTAGTTTTGTTCTTTAATTTTGCAAATTACTTGGTTCTCCATTCTACAAACTACCAACCTTTTAGTCATTGCTTTCTGTTTCCCATCTCCAAATGCTGCCAGCCTTTACAAAGAAAAAAAATATGAGAAATATCAACAGAATCTTTTTAAACCAGTCATCTTTTAAGAATGCTTATATTAAGTTCAAATACCTGACAAATGATGAATATCAAAATAACCCATTACACAGGATATTTCTTTTAATTCTCTATTACTAAAACATAAAGCAGTATTAACAAGAGACCATCTTCTGAAAAATAAGCCATGAGTCATACTTGTACTCTTTAAAGTATTATTTTACCACATTGCCCTCTAAAATTAAATTATACTTAGATTTTCTTCTAGTTTTGCATTTTCTTCTAGCTAATCATTTTCAAGAATATGAGAAGCTGCAAGTTGAGGATAGTTTTGAAAACTTATTTTTCCCTGTAATTCAAAACTTTTCATCTGTGATTAGAAGACTTACCAAATGGTCAGGTAACAATACGCAGTTTAATCATAGAATCATTGAATCTCAGGATTCAAAGGGATCTTAACTTCTCTAGTCTTGTAACTCATGCTGGAACTCTCTCATAAAATACCCAGCAAAAAACTGAGCTCTAGTTTAATTCCTCAGATGGCAAAAAATTCACTATGTCCCAGGACGTTCCATTTTTGGAAAGCTCCTTAAGTAAAGAAATGTTCATCCTTGCACCAAACAGAAGTCTGTCTTCCTGTAACTTCCACACAGTGGTCCTAATTCTGACTTTTGGAGCCACAGCAAACAATTTTAATCCTTCCGCATGATAGCCATTCAAATGTTTGGAAACAGCTAACATGTCCCCCTAAGTCTTATCCACATTAACTTGCCAAGGTTAATTTAGCCATTCCTCACATAAACTGGTTCAGAATCTCCGCTATGCACAAAGTACAGAGCCAGAACTGGGCAAAACTACAGGTACGTCCAGCACACAGAAGCTTGAGGCTGTTGCTTCTTTTGCTGTGGATCTTACATTTCTATCAGGCTCCCCAAATTGCATGAGCTTTTTGGACAACCGTGTAACACTGCTGCTCATATTAATCTTGCAGTCAGCTACAAATCTTAAATTGCTGTTTTTAAACAAATATAGCTATTAAACTAACTCTCAAATCTTAACACATCACCCCTGTGTTAAGACTGCACAATTAAATAACACATGATTTCTGATAATTACATCCCCAAGGTTGATGGGATGAAATGAAATAAAACAAATCCCTTTTATATACTATATACTGTCCATTTATAGGGATCTTATTTCTCTTAATCTGGATCTGCATCCTGTTAATATTTAAAATGGTATGGGCTTATATTGCACTGTGCATCTTGACTGAAGGCGAAAACAGATTCATTAGATTTCCCCAGACATTTTCTACGTGTTAATCTATTTTCTTAAAGTCCACTAACCTTTCCCCTAAATAGTATATTTTTAAAGCTGATTTTAAACCCACAGTGTGTCAGTTATGAAAGTTAATTTTTCTCAGTGCTTTTAGAATTAAAATACTTTGTGATGGTCAAAATATTGTCCTTTCTTAACATACCTTTCCCTGCAGTCTTGAAATAACTACTTCGAGCATTACAGTGTCTTTTAAAATACAATATATGTAGATAAGGGATAAATGATTTCTCTTCTAAAAAGCTTTCAAGTTGTTAAAGGTCCTTTTGAAAATTTTACCAATACTTATCAGCTCATTTGCTAATATTTAACAGAATACTATTTTCCTATCAGTTGGAATCTTTGATCACTCAGTCCTCCAAATAGAAAGGAATTCTCTCCTCTATGTGTTCCCTATAGTAAAAACCATTTACATGTCCCCTATGTGAAATTCAGCTGTTTGGAAAACTCACTTACACAGAAGATAACTAGGAACCTAGGATGTAACTATAATAACAGCAAGACCTTTCCCACTCTCACTACTCATTCATGGTTCTCTCAAGTGAGCAGCTAAGGACACACTCAGAGGCTGACATGCTTCCATTTTTCTGAAAGTTTTATAGATTTGTGTTCCTTCATACCTTGCACCTGCTATTCCCTCTGGTTAGAATGCCTTTTTGTCATTTTATGTGTCTGGTTAACTCTGTTCTTGAAGGCCGGGCTAACAGTCAACTCCTCTGCAAAGTAGACTGACCTTCACCATCCCAAGTTAGGTAACCCTGCTCCTTCTTTCCCATATTACCGTAGCTCTCTGGGCTGCGTACCTTCCTGTGACATTTGATGCAGGGATTTGTAATTATATGAAAGATTGGGCTTTGTGAGGGCAAGGGTTTGGCGGGGGGTGGGGGGGGGACTATGGCTTATCCCTCTGTACGTCCACAACCCTTTCCACTGTGTTGAGGACCTAACAGGCACTTAGGAAGTTGTTACTAAATGAAAGAATCCGGTTTCTAATCAGTTTCCAGTTAATAGCAGATTTTATGGTACAAATTAGGAGAAGACAAGGCTAAAGTAAGCATAGAGAGAGGAAAGAAATGAAAGCCTGACAGAAAAAATAGATTGAGCAGATACCAAAAGTTGGAAAGCACAGCAGGCTTTTGTTTACTTTTTTTATTGAAGTATAGTCAGGCTACAATGTTGTGTCAATTTCTGGTGTACAGCACAACGCTTCAGTCATACAGAAATATACATATATTCATTTTCATGCACAGCAGCCCGTTAATACTGAAGAAATCAACCCTTGCATACCTCTGAAGTTCTCAGGGTGTTTTTCTGTTCTAGAGTAGAGTTCTTGCATTGGTATCCACAATGATAGTTCTGAGTCATCAAGAGAAAGGTTAAATTATGTGCAGCTTCTTGTGTAAAAGAAGTCAGGAAATTGTAGAAAGAGAACCATCCAGAATGATCAAAGTGAAAAGGTTTGGGTGCATAAAGATTCAAGTCCTAAAATATTGAATATGTAGCTATTCAGAACAACTTCCCCCACCCTGAGGTTCTAGCTAATAAGACTTTATTATGTTATCAAAAAAGTTAACATTTAAATAGTTTAAGTGTATATCTCAAGTGTCTCATATACAGTGAATGACATTTAATTTGGTTTGGTAATTCGCTTCCCGTTCTTAGAATTTTGTGGTCAAAGTCATAAAAATCAAGTGACCACAAAGAAGGAAAAGTCAAGCGATGATACATAAACCAGGAAATTGGGGAAGAGGTTGGTGTATGTTAAAGGTTAACTCCAGACCTTTCACATTCTACCAGTCCACATAAAATAAAAAAATCATTCCTATATATTCTTTCTACCATGGTCTTTCCCCCTTTCATCTATGAGCGAATTCTTGAACCAAAAGACATGTATCTTCCTCAAGGATGAACACTAATTCTCCAGAACCAGGGTAGTCTTCAGTCCAGATAAGTGGAGAAAACCTCCCCTGAATGTCCAGGACCAGCCATGGTGGCGCTGACTGTTCCCAGACTGAGGCCTATTTTGAGTTGCTTGGCCTTCTCTCGTGCGGGCAGTAGTAAGAGTCCAGTTTCAAAGCAGTATCCTAACCGTCAGCATGTACCTGACTGGGTCCCTGGTACCAGTACCCTGATCTCTTGCCCTGCTCTTCCCTGCTTTTGCCAGCTCCTGTCCATCAGAACAAGGCAAATTCCCCAAGGGCCCCGCCCTGTCCAGGCTATTAACGAAGTAGGAGGCTTACTTCTCATCATTTCAGCTTCTTTATGTCACTTGAGGAAGCCGAATGGGGCAATATGGAAATAAAAATCTTTCCGTCTAACCAGTATACAGCTTCACTGATCTACTGTACATGTTAAATAAAACTATTTTCACTCCCTGAACCCTAAACTTAATCTCTTTAATTATGGGGAAGGAGGGGAACCCTTATGATCTGCAGCAAAGTCATATTCCCAGTACACAAGCTAAGAGCTGCAGTATCCTTCTCCATCCCAACTGGGTTTGACAATCACCAAGAAGACAATGATGTATTCTCTCGAGCTCAATTAGACGATCTCTGAGGCCTTTCATAAAACTCTGAAGCACAACTCTGAGCTCTATATAAAGTATTGTGCAGTCTTCAAAATAAACATTATCTTGGACTCATGATGTTGAGGTAGGGACTGAGGGGGCAAAGGGAGGAGAGGAGGGGTCTGGCCCTGCATATAGAGCTAGAAGAGGTGCCAGGGTCTGGTGAACAGTGCCCTCTCCCTCCAGTAATTTCCCTACAGGGTACAAGCCTTTTGTTCTGCAGTAGAAGAGAAGACTCCTTTGGGGATACTGAGTTAAAGATGGTTACTAGTGTGCAAGCAGCTGCTTTCAGATTCCTTTCTGAAACCTAGTTTTTGTAGGGAAAGGAAAAAAGAAAAAAGAAAAATGCCTTAAAGAAGATGGAGATAAAAGAGAATTGAATGGGAGGAGTTCATGATTTTGCTTTGGTTTATGTGATATTATTTGCTCTCATTCTCTTCAAATGTTAATGTTCAGTGGAAGCTGAAAAAATCCTATTACAACAAAATTTTACTAACCATTGTTAATTGCTACAATTAATTCCTAAAATCAACTGAACAGGGTTTCAGATCAGAGTCATATTCCAAATAAAAGTTCTCAGCATTAGGTTTAATTTGAGAATTTCCATTTGGCAGTCAAAAGTAATCATTTTCTCCACAGATATTTTCTCACTTGTCCCCACCTCTCCCTGCCACTGCCTCTGCTCTATATTTTTAGTAATTTTCAAACACGAGAAAACTAGAAAATTTATACAACTTCATGAAGCAAGACATAGGTAAATACTTACCATATACCCTGTGGAATTCAATAGGAAGTAGTAATGTTACAAGACAAAACAAAGTACCTACCCTGGGCTCAGTATTTTCAAAGGGTGATGGATAAATAATTTTTTCCTTCTGCCTGTTTTTCTTTGATTGTACAGAGGAGGGGAGAGGTGGTGAGAGAATATTTATATTATGAAACTTTTCATTCACAGTGTTATTCTATTATTTTCAGTTTTCATATGAGGGGGGAAAAGCCCATTTTATGTAAACATTTTTCCTTGATGTTGTTGTTTTAAATGTAGGACGCGTTGGAACACCTCATTTTATGGCCCCAGAAGTTGTCAAAAGAGAGCCTTATGGAAAACCTGTAGATGTCTGGGGCTGTGGCGTGATCCTTTTTATCCTGCTAAGCGGTTGTTTGCCTTTCTACGGAACCAAGGAAAGATTGTTTGAAGGCATTATTAAAGGAAAATATAAGGTAATCTATCATGAACGTTTTGTGTTTCCGCTGAGATTAAATTATCCTGAAAAAATGTGCTTTGAAGTTACTGTCTCTTTGGGTTTCTTGTTGATTGTCACATCGTTACTTAGAGAAAAGTTCTTTGCTTTGCTTGTTATGCAACATAGGCCTCAGAGTCAAAGTAAATTTCAGAGTCGCTGTTAGCTGAACTGTCACCCAGTTGACTGGCTTTAAAGCAACCCATTGCCTCACACCTCCTTCTCCTTCCCTTTCCCTCTGTGCTACTGCTGAAGTCTATCCCATGTGTTTGATTTCCAACTCTGTGTTTAGTCTAGAAAACAGAAACCCTACTCCTCTTTGATACAGTATAAAAACCAGAGACCAGATAGATGTGCCCCCTTTCCTCCACGTGCCAATTGGCAGTGTAAGAATCCTGGGCTCTCGGAGTCACAAAGCCACATTGCAAATCAAATTCTTTCACCTCAAATACATTCTAGGAAACTACTCGTTTAACTAGTTCAAAGAAATTGGTTACTGCCCTGCTTATTTCCAATAAAATTCTAGCTCAGGAAAAGAATTTGGAATGCTCCTTGGAATTTATTGTGTTAGAATTTGACCTTTTATTTTACCCCAGGTAAGGTGTTTGTGGCAGACCTGAGCCCAGATTTTAAAGTATCCATTAGCTGCCTCATGACTGAGCCTGTTTATTCAGGCTAAGCTGGGAAATAAACTTCTTTGGCCCTTCTTTGTGTAATTTGAGAAAAGGGCTTTATGTTTATAACTTTTTGCTTAATTTGTAACATGAAAATGGAAATTTAATCCAGGTAATTTAAGTAATTCCTTATCTTAATTTTAGATTTAGTGTCTATTAACTTTTATTTGTTTTGCTTTGTCATATATGTTACTTTATTGCATTTTATGTAGTTAGCCGGCATAGCTGAAATACTTTCCATTTACATCCCAGGATAAACTGAAATGCCAGTATCACAATTGCATTTCATAATATGATTTGGAGCTGTTTTGGTGTGACTTAAACATTCGCGTTCATCTTTGGCTATTGTGAATTAGAGCTGCATGTACTATTCACAGACTTGTGATTAGTACATTATTACTTTCATTACTAAAAAATTAAAAAGTCGTTACTGACAGTGTAAATGGCTACACCAAAAAGACCTAGGAAATTCTGGGAAATAAGCTTAAGGTGGGTCTCACTACCCCAGCTCTTACACTTTACTCCCCTGTACCGCCCTGTGTGGCTGACAGAATAGGACTGTGTGTGCGAAACACGGGGAGTATGTGTCTGAATATCAAAGAAGAGCAGCTTATTTTGAGGAAGTTCTTTTTCCTCCCATTATGACTGACACATGTGCTTTCTATTCACCAGAATCACCACTGTTTCATTTTTCAGTCATTCCTGGTAAAACAAAACCAAACACACAGGTTTATACAGCACTAGACTCCAAAACTGTAGGGTCCCTCAAGTTTTTTCTTTCAATTCCTCAGTAATGTTAGAATTTTATATAGGACTTGAAAAAAATTAAGAAAAAAAGAAATGAAAGATATAAAGTAGTTTCAGAGTTGAAGCCTTTCCTTTTAGGCCATAACCGAAGCTTGTGGAAGTGAGAAGGTGAGAATCGTTTATGCTTTTTTTCCCCCCCTTGGACCTTGCGTACCCATTAGCTTCTAAGGGCATCCAAGTTTGTCTTTTATTTGGATTGAGATATATGCCAAAACTCTGTTAACAGAGAAAGATGTTTTAAGTATAGGTTTTTCTGCTTCTCTTAGAGTCAGTTGGCCACTGGGGAATAAAATCAATCTTTTCAAGGTAACTAAAAGCCTCAGGAAACTGCTTGTAAGTAATCATCCCCCTCTAATCCCTGGAAATTGTGAGTGGCAGGAATGCACGGTTATGGCTTTCTGGTCGAATTTTGCCAAGTGAAATCACAGATACTAACATGAAAATAAACACAATTAGTAATGCATCAGCATAATAATAATACTAGCAATAATGATAGCTAACTCATACATAGCACTTACTATGTGCCAGGAACTATTCTAAGCACTTGACTTATATTAACTCGTTTCATCCTCACAGCGATTTATGACGCAGGTACCGTATAATAAAATCTCCCACCTGCCTTTTTGAGTTATAAGCATTTGCTAATAATAGAGTCTTCCTTTGTGTTTGTTCAGTTGCTAACTTCCTGGTTTCCAAGGCAATATGCTTCATTCCAACAGCTTCTGGTATTTGATTTTGTCTATTTTTAAAGCATTGAATAGTTGACTTTGTTTCTTTGTTAAAAAAAAAACAAAAAAGTTGGACTATTCACAAATGTCCAAAAATTAAATTGTTTTTAAATTTCCTATTTTTAGTATTATACTAAGTCAGGTGGATGCTGCCAACAATATCATAATTTCTGTACCTGGGGAGTTGAAGCTTTGAGGTTGATAACCTATTTACTCTTTTACTTGTCTAACTCCACCTCTTGCTTATAGTCATGGCTTTCCTTACAAAAGTCTCAGGTTTTCAGCAGCTTAGTAACTGTGCTGTGATTGTGTCACCATTTATTTTTACATTTTTTGTTATTGAAAATTTCAAACGAACAAAATAGTGGAGATAACAGTATTAATGAACCCCAAGCTTTAATGCTTATCAACATGTAGCCAATCTAGATGGTTTTGAAGCAGATCTCAAAAATATCATTTCATCACTCATGCTTCTTAACAAAAGAAATGTTAACAAAATCCTTGATCTCTATGAGTATTTTCAAGAAAATTTTTATGTACTACATTTAAATAGTCATAGTTTATAAACTGCTACTGGTCTTAAGTAATTTTAATTTAACTTTTTATTCTCATTTACTAGCTTAGTTGGTCATTTAAGGTAGATATCAGAGAATATTATTTAGCTAAATTATATGCTAACATGTAATTTCAATTAACTTTTTTATAAAAGACAAAAAAATACATTTCCCAAAGTCTGTAAAAGATGCAGTGTCATCTTACGTCATTTGTTTCTGGATAGCCAGCTGATATCTACACTGCAGGAGTTCTAAGCTGCCTGGCTCTAGTATTCAAATAAGTGTGACTCTTTTATGGCCCTGTTTTGTTCTCCCTTACTTACTCAACCTTCCAAATTTATTTCAACTACTCTTCTCTGCCAAAGGAAGAGAAAACCCTAGGTTGGACTCCCTCATTAAAAAGATGGGGGATACTTCTCAACCTCTACTCACTTCAGGCATCTCACTACCACTTTCAGATGATTTCTCAACCCCTCTCCTAAGGACAGGTCATGCAGACTTTAAAGAGTCCATCAGCTCCAGGATGGGGAAGAGGAAACAAGGCCATCTATCTGAGCCCCATCTAATCACTCACCTCCTTCTCTCACAAACTGATCTCAGTTTCAGTCAGCTGACAATATTTCAACAGTCTCATGGTACTCATTTTAATTAAGGGATCTGACAAGCAGAAGTAACTATTGTTTGGAATTCTGCCTCTTAGAAAAAGAATATGGAACATTTCTCACTCCCATCTACAAGAACAGAGCCTCACGCAAACCAGAGGGAAATGTCTAATGCTAACCCTTGGTCAGATTGTAATGATTCATGTGTACTGTCATGCAAGTTGTGATTTCATTTGGCTTTAAATTATTGTGGACTTTAATCAGTGCCGTGGCTTTAACCGGCAGAGACCTATGTCACCTTCTAAAGGAGAAAGATGGAGAATAAAACTCCTGGCACCAGACAGCTCCCATAAGCTCACTCACTCAGTCAGTTTCCTGATACTAAAGAGGGAGTGAGACCCTACTCCGTCTCTACCCTCCTCTCCCAACTTGTCTTCCCAGCTCCAAGCCCTAAGCATTCCTTTCCGTTCCTTTTCATTGTTTTCTTGGTTCCTGGTCTGAGACATACTCCTTTTCCCAGGAGCCTTCCAACTCTTCCTCACAGATCCATAGCCTTCCTTCAAATCCTGTCTCTTTTGAGCAACTCATAATTCTTTTAGTTTGACTTTAGTTACTTTACCTTGTGGCTTAATTGTCTCATCTTTAAAAGAGGAACAAAAGTAAATTCAGTAAGAACAATACACAAGTGAGTAGGGTTTTTTGTAGGGCCTATAGTAATGGTGTATTTCTTCCTAAGTACTGAAAATGGCGTACACTGACCAAAGTATCCTGTTAATGACTTTGTGTAGCTTCACAATTACTGCTGATTCCAATTTTTAAAAGCAAAATATTTTAAAAAATTTTTTTAATCTAAATTTTTTCAGTTTTATTTTAGTCCTTTCTGGATCAAAGTATTGTAGTCTCTTCAGAGCCTAGATTCTAGACTCTTTACGTAGAACCTGCAATCGTGAACATTCTATTCTTCGATTATTAAAAATATTGTAACTTATATAATAATAACATATGTAAAGAATATTTACTGATGCAAAATCTCCTGTAAAGAACAGTAACAACAGAAAAGAATTACATCTGTTGTCTTGTTCCTTAGAAATCAAGCCTTTAGAATCATATTTCTCTATTTTGCTCTGAGAATTTTATTCACATTGAAACAGCATAGGAATATTAAATAACAGTGAATATTAACTTCTCACTGGACATAACTCTGTAATTTTCCTTTCCTCCTCTTCAGATGAATCCAAGGCAGTGGAGCCATATCTCTGAAAGTGCCAAAGACCTAGTTCGTCGCATGCTGATGCTGGATCCCGCTGAAAGGATCACTGTTTATGAAGCACTGAATCACCCTTGGCTTAAGGTACACAAGCTCCTAGGTGGCCGTCTGCACTTTGTTTGAACACTGCCAGTGACAGGAGTGTATTGCTCTGTAAGGTGCCCCTTTCCACCTTTTTTTTTCTGAGAGTTTTTTCATTACAGTTTGCTGTACAGTTTTGTTCCTCTTGTTTGCCATTTCTGTACATCCTCTGTAAACATCTAAGAAGAGGCTGTTCCATTTGAGTGGCATTCAGCTCTCATCACAAGAGGGTACAAAAGCGGATTAAGGCAGAATACATCAGGGAGGAAGGCCTGTTTGTTCTCTACCAACACAGGCTCCAAAGATGTGTGGCCTGAACCACAGAAATAGGACTTACTGTGTGATCATTAAAAATTAATTATCTTTATTTTGGATGTGACTGTATACTTTATAGCATTATTTTTATTTCAGTAGTTACTGGGTGTGGATATATTGTCTTTGGAAAAAGGCAGATTTTAAAAGTTCTTTTTATATCCCATCTTGCCAACGAGTGTTAAAGAAATTTACAACTTTCCTTCGCACTCCAGACCCCATCCAGTTCACTTATTCACCGCTCCAGCATTTCCCCTACCCTGCATCACCAGCTTCCTATCCCTGTTGGATTTAACAAGCTACAGTTCATTCTTACTAAATACACACATCTTCTCCTGACCCCGCAACCCGCTCCAGCTTCTGCCCCTATTCTCTGCTCCCCTTGGCAGCAAAACTTCTAGAAAGTTATCTGTACACACTTTCTTCAGTTTCTCCCATCTATTTCTCTTGAAAGACCCACCCTAGTCAGGATTGCTGTCCTACCAACTCCACTGAAACGGCCCTTGTCAAGTCACTAATGAGCTTCACACTACACAGTCCAGCACTCAAATCTCAGGCTTCTCCCTCTTGGCACATGAGCAACCTTTGACATCTGTCCTCCCAAAACGCTGTCCTCCCTTGGAGTCGGCACACCTCGCTCTCCTGGCTTCGCCTCCAACTCTCTGGCTGCTCCTTCTCAGATGGTGCTGCTTCTTCCTCGCCTCCCCTCACCCACCTCTTTGCCATGAAATGCCACAGCCCTGTCCCTGCCCCTCCTACCCCCCTCTGCCTCCACTCAGACCCGTGGGGACGTCATCTAGTTTTAATGGCTTTAACTGCCACTGTACCCTACTGACTGCTGAATTTGCACTTCTGGGCGAGGCCTCTCCCCTGACGTGTTCTGTCTTAGTTTGGCATACAGTTTTGCTCCCTGATACCTCTCTGATTTCACTGCTTACTACTCTCCTCTTCTCACTTTGTTCCGTCACATTGGCCTCCTTGCTGTCCCTCAGACAGCGGCCACATACTTGCCTCAGTGCCTCTGCGTTAGCCAGGCCCTTTCCCTAGAATGCTCTACCCCCAGATCTCTCCGTGGCTTGTTCCCTCACCATCTTCAGGTCTTTGCCTAGATTAGCAGCTTCTTAGCAACATCTTCCTTGGCCACCCAATTTCAAATTTGAGAGAAGGAATATCCCTGTCAACAGTATTCCCTGCCCTCCTTCCCTGCCCTAGTTTTCTCCACAGCATTTGTCACCATAAGACACACTTATGTTTTGCTTCCTTGTTTGTCTGTCTACTCCCGTAACGTATAAGCTGCGTAAGCATGGGAATTTGGGGCTGTTGGTTCACTTCTGTGTCGAACCTTTCAAAGTGTCTGACACGTAGTAGGTGCTCATAAATATTAGTTCATAATTTAAAGAATAAATGAGTAAATGTTCGTTTTACTATACCGTGCTACTTTCCTGGAAATTATGCAAAATAATAATATATATTAAAATGCAGATTACTAATGTATCTTAATGGTGATGACATGGAATAATAATATTATGTTAAGATTCCAGTGGATCTTGATCCTTCTTAAGAATATTACTTCTCAAATCTGCATTCAACCCTCTGATACTCAGTTCTAGTCATTCTTTTTTTTTAACATTTTTATTGAGTTATAATCATTTTACGATGTTGTGTCAAATTCCAGTGTAGAGCACAATTTTTCAGTTATACATGAACATATATATACTCATTGTCACATTATTTTCTCTGTGAGCTACCACAAGATCTTGTATATATTTCCCTGTGCTATACAGTGTAATCTTGTTTATCTATTCTACATTTTGAAATCCCAGTCTGTCCCTTCCCACCCCCTGCCCCCTTGGCAACCACAAGTTTGTATTCTATGTCTATGAGTCTGTTTCTATTTTGTATTTATATTTTGTATTTTTTTTTAGATTCCACATATGAGCAATCTCATATGGTATTTTTCTTTCTCTTTCTGAATTTCCCCAGTTGTTGTTAATCCTGACTTCTCCCAGAAAAGAGTGGGTAAACAGTTCTGAGATACTTTCTTATACTTTTTTTCTCCCAGAAATAAAGTTTAGGGGGACTCCAATTTTTTCTTTGCCTTTCTCAGTTTCTCCGTAATGGGGGTCTTTTGTTCATTTGAAGCTAATTTAAATGCCAAATAACAGTGAAAATGGCAACCATATTAGTCATTTTTAAGATCCTTTAGAAAATTTGGCTTTCATTATCTTGCATGTCTTGACTAATAACATTTATTTTTGGAAACCTTTATCCCTGCAATGATTATAGTTCTGGTTCCAAATCATCTGAGCTTAACACATAATAGATTTCTGGTACCAGAAAGACAAAGACAAAAGACAAAAAAATGTCAGTAACTTAAATGAAAACATTCCAGAAGGCTGTTTGAGTTTGGTGCCACATGCCATGTCTGAAGTACAGTTTACCTTCTTCACTGCAGTATGTCATCTGAAGATGGAAAAATTCAATGAGAATTTTATCTAGCTGATGAGAACAGGCTTATATTTCAGTTCTTTTCCATGTTTACTTTTAAATCATTTCTTTGGATATAAGTGGTGGTAATTTAACAATGACTAAAATTTAAGCTATGGTTTAAATATGAAAAACTCCTGAATAACTGCAAAGTCAAGAAATAAAATGATAAAAATTCTTGTAATGAAGAGTACCCAAAGTCATGACACCATTGCTTTGTGTCAAAAAAAAAAAGGAATTATTTCTTTGGTAAACCACACACACACACACACACAAAATGTCCTATTCAATCATACTATATAAAAAAATAGAATTTGAGTAGATAGACTGATTAATATGTGAATGTCTTGTGGTTGTTAAATTATACCTGTTTAACATTTTTATCTAAATTATTGCTGTTGGCTATAACTATCCATCCCAACAAAAGTAAGACCAACTCAGATTATAATTTTCTCATAGATGATTGAGGTCTTTTCCCACCCTTTATAGCCTTAATATGTAGACCCCCAAGTATATTGACTGTAATACAGCATGAAAAGGGTATTTATATCCAGCTAATCAATTTGGATTTCGGAAAAGTCGATCAACACACAAATTAAATGTATATTCAGCATTTGGTATGCACAAGGGACAGTGAACCAAGCACTTTTAAAGTGCAAGACACACTGCTGCAGATGTTTTTCTGAATTCCTACCACATTACTGTTAGTTTCAGGTAGGACTATTTAATGCAGAAAAATATTATTTTTACTCTTTTGCCTCATTTTTAGAATGCCTTGGGGTTGTTATTATTTACCTGTTCTCTGGTAAGAGGTACCTTAATAGACTTTTTTTTAATCTTGTGTTTTCATCTGCTTAGAGAATATCAGGAATCATCATTTAAGCATAATTTTATTAAACACATATTTTTTGACTGTGTCCTTATCTCTCTCTCCACTTCGCCTTAGTGAATGGTGAGCAGAAAAGGTGTTCACTAGAAATAGCATCCACAGTCTGCTATGTACTAAACTTCCCAGTCTGTTAGAGAAAGAAAGGCATAGTCAGATCGTGACATGAATTTTCAAATGATGTTAATATAACATGAAGACACAGAAAAATAACCTCACAGAAGTTGTACGTGAGAAGCACCACACAGGAGTACAGAGGTGTGGCCACAGGAAGACTAATGGGGGCATGAGAGGTCACCTCAGGTTCCAGCTCCAGGACAGGCCACGCATGTTCATGGAACTGAAGAGGGCCGTGTGCCCCGGACAAGAAATACAGGGGCGCACAGTCAAAGCATTACAAGTATTCAGGGCCTGGGGGGTGGGGGCAGGAAACGCTGGTACAATACAAGTGTCAGCTATTAGGAGGGTTATAGCAGTAGGAGACTGAGAATTTGGTTTGAGGGAAGAATATATCAGTCTAGAATGCCAAATGAGGTCCTTTAGACATCAGGGTATAGAGAGTAAAAAGCCACTGCAAGCCTTGAGTGATGATGCAGGCAAGCAGCGTGCTCATATCATTCTTTGGACGCTGTATGCAGGTGGGTTGCCTGTCGGGATGCAAGCAGTAGCGGCAAAGAGATCCTGTAGAAACCGTGACCGTTCAGTCAGGAAGTGACAGGGGCCTCGACCAGGGCGTAAAAGTGGGAGTGGGAAAGAAATACCCAGACTGAGAGCGATTAAGGAAGGGAAACTGATGAGTGATTCGAGATATTTGGAATTAGGAAACCCATAGGAGGTTTAAACATGTAGAGTGGAAGTGATTTATTTTAAACTTTTGAAATTTAGATTTAATTTAGTTGAGATTTTCCTGGTTCTTCCTCTGAAGAGTAAGTTTGGATAACGTGCTGGACATTTTTAGTATTATTTTGTTAGGAGTCTATGATTCCTATTTAAATCTCCTCTTTTGGTAGGCAGTTAACCCAATTAGATTCAGAACACATGTCCTGGCCCACTTATATGGGCTGTAATTCAAATGCCAGTTTCATTTTCAGCGCCTTTGCAGCACTCAGTCTGGTTTGTTCCACTTGTGTGCTACCCAGAAGTTTGTTTGGAACCTGGGAGGCACTTCATAACCATAGTTTAGTCTCAAAGCTCTTGCTCAGTTGGTTGTAGTTGGTTTTACACTGGGGTATACTGGGGATGTGCCAGAGCTACCTCCTTCCCCGCTCCCTCCCTGCTCTCTAGGGCGTGGGGTGCCGCCCCTTTGCCCTTGTTTGCT